ATCAGAAACAAACAGGGCCTGAGTAATTATGGTGAAACATTATATGAAATTGGATGATCATGGTGAAATAAAATCAAATTTGGTAGTCATGGTGACACTAAATACAAATTTGGATGTTCGTGGTGAAACAAAATTAAATTGAGTGGCTATAATGACATCAAGTATAAAGTTAGATGGCAATTGATGGATTTAACTCCAATTCTACTCATTCCCAATTTAAACAGTATATTTTATATGAGCATTGCTACTTGTACATAATAATATGTACATCAAAATGTCAACTCCCTCACATGGGGGTGGGACCCACTTGGAGATAATATTTTTTATTCAAGTGGATCACAGCCTCATGTGAGTGGGTGGATACCTTGATGTACATATTATTATGTACAAATAGACGATTCCTATTTTATAATTCTATTGTGTCAGGATAAGTCACCAACTAAAATCTGCCACAGGTGAATTACAATCTTGCTTTGTTGGCAACTACTTCGATTTTTTTTTTTTTGTGTTAAATCTATTCAACCATAGTTCACGCTGATCAATCTGAATCATAGTAATAACTAACAAATGGTGAAAAGATTGTTTCAAATATCAAAAAGACAGAAAAATAAATTATATAGAAAAATCAACACAGAGATTTATGTGAGTGAAAATTTCCAAATCGGAAAAATCATTGGTCGGAAAAGAGATTCTAATGTGAAAATTTGATAGTCGCTTTGCCTCGTAAACAATAACTAGTTCGAGAATTTGGAAATTGTAACATCGCGTGCTTATTTATCGTGATTAGCACGTTTGTCTTGATTATGTATTAGTGTTGAATTTACTACTTAATTAATATAAGTATCTTCATTGTGATTAGGGTCCGTTTGATTGCAATAGTGGAAAATGGGTGGAACGAAAATATTTTACAGGGAATTGATTTTCCTAGAAAATCTTTTACTGGGAATTGTAATTAATTGTGTTTGATTGGTATAATTTTTCATGGAAAATGTTGAAAGTTTGGTGTCCATTTGGCTTCATTTTTTATGGAATTTGTCCATTAAA